GAATGGTGGCCGTCTGGAGTGCGCCCAGTATTAGCCGTAGCGGCCATTTGGCCTTATATGCCCGGTGCGACCATAACCAGTGTGCACCTAGGTCAATAATAATTATATTAAACTCATTAAAAAATTAATAATAATTATTATTATTGATTACAATTGAGCTAAAGTCTAATTGATTACAGCATATCGTGTGTAAAATGTAGAAAAGTGTTTAGGTTACGTTAGATCTATATTAGTAGCACAAACATTATATAAATTGTAGATTTTGTGTTCAAATTTTATTTAATAAATTATATTGTTAAAATAATTTAATTACTCGTATTTACAAAAATAACTATAACGTGAATATAATGCAAATATAAAATTTTTGTTAAGTTATACATAGAATGCATATAAAGATTGATTTTTATATTGATTATTTATATTGATTATTTATTTTTCTAATTTTTATATAAAATAAATAACATTTTCAAATTTTTTTATCACCTTTCTAGCAACTTTTATCACGTAACTTTAAAGCTTGTTTATATCACTTAAAAATCATTGCTTTAAACATAACTAATTGAATCAATAGCAAAGATAATTTATTATTAATATTATTAAAATAATTAGCAGAATATTTTAATTAATGTGATTTATTTTTATTTATTTAGTATATTTGTTTGGAGCGTATGACTTTATATTTTGTTGGTAGATTTAATTTATGATGTAAGCAATAAATTAATTGATTTTGTTGAATAGTTTAAAATATTAAATTTATTATATATTAATACATTAAATAAATTTTATAATATATACATTTATACGGAAGTAAATTTAGTTTAAAGCAAAATGTTATATTATTTTAGTAATTAAATTTAAATATAAAGTAATACGTTTGTTACGAATTATACTAATAAATAAAACAATCTATATTGATTAAATTATTTAATTTAAATATAAGGTAATATGCTAAGAACAATAAAAATTAATAAACAGGAGTTGATTAAAATATAGTCCTACGTTTGTTACAATTTATACTATGTAATAAATACTAGATAATAAACAAAACAAACTATATTGATTAAATTATTTTATTTAAATATAAAGCAATATGCTAGGAACAAAGAAAATTCATAAACAAAATCAAATTTAATTTAAATAAGATGTCATACTTTTGTTACGAATATAAAAAATTAATTTATTGCAAAGATATTAGGCAACTTTACATGTAAGAGTTTATTGCATACAGTATATACCATGTATGATAAATTAATGCAAATGATTTTCAGATTTTATTATTAAATAGAATAATCATTTTATATTAATGAGTAAATCAAAGAAAGCAGCGAGAGATTTAAAATATGTTACATAAATAAGCATTGTATCATATAATAAATAATTAATTACAAACCTATATATTTCATTTTATAATTCACTAAAGTAAGCATCAAAATAACACTATGTATCAAATTCTACAAAAGGTATCTAAAATGAACATTCGTAATTTTGTAGTGAATATAGTAATATTGTGTGGATTTCTATACCAAACGTATAAAATTAGTACCATATACTTCTCATACGAAACCACAACAACTATAAAGTTTGAAACAACATTTGAAACTCCAGCCATATCTGTATGTCTGGATGTGATCGGTCTCATTGAACCACAACTCAGACATTTATACATGGATTCCAATGATAGCGATATAAATAAATTGATATTTAAAAACCAATCGATCGACAATCAGTTATCAACATTCATACCATTAAATAATATACTAAAATTTTATTCATCATTGTCTAACAAAAAACTGATTGCTTACCGTACATCTTATTCCAGCGGATATACTGAAATATGCCTGACAAGATTTTTGAACCCAGATGTCGATTTAAAACAACATGGGTATAACAAAGAAAATAATCCCGGTGAAAGAAGCTTCGTTTGTGGACATTATTGCAAACTCTACACTAATTCGAGATAAAGAAATAACAATACAAGTCAATAGCCCGCACAAACAGGTACGAGAAGTAGATAGCACAAGTATGATTTTTATAAATATATCCACCAGTAAATCGTGTGAGGTACGTTATAAGAAAACAGTAGTTAAAATGGTGCCAAACATGCGTAATGAAAAATGTTTACCTACCGCTCAGGATAAAGACGATTGTCTTATTGAGTGTACACTTCAAGAATATTATAAGAATTCTCAAAAATTTCCTGATATATACCTGATTTGTCGCGACGATTACGGTCCGAATGAAACGGCCATTCAATTCAATATGATAAACAATATATACTATGAACAATGTAGAGATAAGTGCGACAACCATATAGAATGCGAATTGCATTACTATTCGTTTTACACTACTTTAGACAATGCATTAGATCGTGACCATGATCATACATTTAACTTACAATTCATGCGCCCATTAGAGCCGACACAAGTATATGAGATATCATTGAAAATGTCTGCCGAAGAGTATCTACTTTTTGTCGGATCACTACTGAGTCTATGGTATGGTTTATCGCTCGTAATGTGCACTAATTTTTTTACTCAATTACTTATCAAATTTACGACATTTATATTTTTTAAGAAATCGGAATCAATAAACAACACAATTAATAATAATATAAATCTCTATAATATAACACCAAATCGACACAATTTAATTTATGCAAATGCACTTCATACCCGATATATTGATCCAAATTAAGCCTACGATATAGGTATTTGTTATGTATGAAAATCTTATGACTAATTTTACGCATACTTTACTCATTTTCTATTTCTTGCATATGATTATTTTAAGTCACATTTGAATTAATTATACTAATTATTAACATTTGGTTTATTTCCACTCAATTACTATTGGATATTAATGATTACTCGCCAATCATTGATTGGTTTTTCATAAAAATTATAAAAACTATAAAAGAAATGCATTTTTGTATTTTGACTTCATTTCTTGATATAAACCCTTTCAATAAACTTCGGTTCTTTAAATAAAGTTCTTTTTATTATTATGCAATTGTGTAATAGTTATTGCCTTCGCCTGGGCTGATCTAACTGACCCCGAAAGGACTTGGGTTTAATGGTTCGTTCGAAAGAACTAGACATGTGGATCTCTGTTTTACATTTCACAGAATTGATCTAGCGCATTCCGTTCGGGAGATATAACGATTCTTGAGGCGACAAGTTTTTTGAACAACTGAATAATATTAAATGTCATTATTTAAACAAATGAACATTTAACTCGTCTGGCAATAGGTGGTGACAGTAAATAAAACTAATAATTACGAAAAAACAAATTAAATAAACCTGGCATTTTGTTTAAAAAATTAATTTAATAGCAATATATGTATAATTACTGTATTATAGATTTTAAACAACTTTATTAAATAGTAAAATTTGCAACATAAAGTAAAAACTTTTAATAACTTATGATTTAATACATAATATATCTAACTAAATTATTGACTTTTGCAAACGGTTTAATTTGTCTATCCGTAACACTAGCGCATTCACCATGATTAGTACATCTAATTGCCGAATTCTTTTGTTATTTTCGGTTTTTTAGTAGCGGGCAACGGGTTGGCAATGGCCGCGCGTCGCTCTCGGCTGTAGTGTTCGTACGCCTCAGCGAACGGTCCACTCATATGGATAGCAGAGGTCAGCATAATCATTAATTGATCAAGAGCCTGATACCATAAATCACGGGTAGCGGCCAATACAGTATCAATAGTCCCAACACCACATCCATAGCCATACTTGCGTTCCGGCGTAAGGCTGTCGTACATCTGGCAATGGATGGCGACATTAAATAAAACTAATAATTATGAGAAAACAAATAAAATAAGCTTTTATGTTTAAAAATTAATTTAATAGCAACATGTTTATCATTATTATTATAGATTTTAAATAACTATCTTAAATAGTAAAAATTGCAATCAGTCATAATCATATCATTCAATCAAATTTAGGCTTTGGTCGTGGTTGATGTGTTATTGGCTCAGCAATGGCTGCGCGTCGCTCTCGGCTATAGTGTTCGTACGCCTCAGCGAACGGTCCGGTCATATGGATAGCGGACGGCGCGGCGTTCGCTGTCTTCTCTCCATTCGGGACGATAGCGATCGCCACCAATAATGCCAACACATATATCGACACCATGTCTATAGATTAGGCATATTTTATACATCAATTGTTATGTAGTTAAATAAGTAAATTAATGCTCACCTCTGTGCAAATTAGACCTGATTTTTAATTTGCAAAATTTTTTTATGCCAATAAATGGTGACTTATCTTTAGTAGCGTATGGGTTTATTTAATTATAATTAATTATAATTAATTACATTTATAGTTATTTGCACTAAGACGTGCTAGAGCCACTGTAGAGCCACTTTTGTATAGTGAGGTTATACTTTAGTTATAGCATGACTTATGCTATTAAATATGAATTTGTCTATAAATCGCTATATTTATAACTCATACAGTGCTGACTATTTACTATTACATTTCAGCATGAGAATCGCTGGTTATTTGTATAGCGACTGCGTCAATTTTGCGCGCGATATTAAAAACTTATTTTTAATAAGTTTTATTAAAAAATTTTCATTTTAAAAAATACAAAAATTAATTCAATTAGAATTTTAAAATTTAATGAGCTATAATAAATAGCAAACACAATATGGTTATGTAACAAAAAACAGTAGCGCAATCATCTGGGTTAAATTCAAACAATTAGTTACATATATGGTATAAAATAAATTAATTTCTGGTAACTGACACTACCATAAATCACTTCGATAACAATACTCTAATTATTATAATTATAAATTCACCAAGAGCCTAATACCGTAAATCACGGGTAGTGGCCAATACAATATCAATAGTCCCAATACCACATCTATAGCCATACTTGCGTTCCGGCGTAAGGCTGTCGTATCGCCCGTACGTTTTGTACGCATGCGTACGATCTCTGCCGAGACTTTTTTGCGATCATAGGCCCAACCAATTTTTGCAAACATGTCGATGAGCAAGGTGGTCGGGTTGAAATTTTGTTCCCACCCGTACTCGGACCCGGAGTAATCCTGAGGAAATGCATGATGGTAGTTGTGGTAACCGCCGCCTGTACATGGTCATAAATAAAATTGCATGTTAATTTAGTTTTAACATTGATTTTTTAATTGTTCATGTTATTAAACATAACCAAAAATTATATCGTTAGATTTAAATAACTAATATCATAATGATATTGCTGCAAAACCCTTTTTTAATAAAATACAAAAACCTAACAGGCGTATTTCATTTAATAAAAACTTTTACAGTCTGTAATGCATTATAATATAACTTGTCTAACCAATCTAGGTTGTTTGTAATTACCCGCTAAAGTAATCGACTATTGACTGTATTATCTGTGCTTTTAATAAAATTAATTAAAAATTTTATTTTAAATTATAATAAAATACCTAAATTCTTAAAATGAAATAAATTGTCTATAGTAAATTTTTTTTAAATAATTAAAATTAACCCATAGCCAGGTAGACGAGCACGGTGTTATCAGTGGGCTGAATACTTTTATCATATGGCCTATAACCAAACATATGGGCCACAGAATTGACCAACCAGGTATAATGCAATAGTATCACATAAAACAGCACGTTCATCGCCACCAAATACGTCCAACTCTCGTGTGGAAACAATAAACGGGGAATGACCGTGAACATGGTGCCGCGCACCAAAACCACCCAGAATGTATAAAACATGCGCTGGTACTTTACAATAGGGTCGTCGTGTAGGTCCTTGGTGTCTATGGTGGGCACTTTGGCCAAGTAAGTGGGGTGGCGTTTGAAAAATAGCCACCCGATGTGGGCCCATAAAAAGCCCCTGCTGATGTTGGTAGGATCACCATCTGTGTCCGAGAATTTGTGGTGCAACCGGTGTTTTAATGACCACTCGTATATATCCTCCTGAATGGTGGCCGTCTGGAGTGCGCCCAGTATTAGCCGTAGCGGCCATTTGGCTTTGTATGCCCGGTGCGACCATAGCCGGTGTGCACCTAGGTGATTTAAATGTAAATATTGTTTTATTAATTGTTGTGTATAATTGTGTTTGAATGTTGTGTTTAAGAAAATTAAGTGTTTAGACTGTAATAGTCACAAAGTATATTTATCATGTTTATTAGATTAATTATAATTATATTAGTTGGAAAGTAGTCTACAAGTCAAATGTTTGATAAATAAAATTTTAAAAATTAATAAGCTAAATTAATCAAGTATAATTTTGCCAACAAAAACCGACTATAACGTAAATATATTTTGAGTAAAGTAAATTATTTATATTTACGTTTTAGTTGGCTTATTCAATTCAGTGAATATTAAATAATTATTATCAGAGGTAATGCAAATATTTTATTATACAGTCTATGTTATAGTTATATTGTTTCAAGTTGTATTATACAGTATAATTATCATGTACAAACAAATCAAACCTACCGGCAATTATGCCAAACATGCATAATATATTGGCGCTTACATAATAAACATTGAGACCAAGCTCACTCCAGCCACCAATGCCCTTGGTGAAATGTAAATACAGCGCATAGACCGCTATTGAATGAATGATGGGCAGAAAAAATACATAAAACCATGCTATTTCAAATTGATGTGGCACAATTTTTGCTGGTTTAACGTATTTAACACGCTCTGGTTTGGTAATTATCACGTTGTTATTATTCTGGTTCTTGTTATTTAATAAAATGTTCTCGGTCTGTGTTCTTGAGATGATCATTGTTGGTGATTTTGCTGCGATAATAATTAATACACGTGTTAATTTTTACAAAGCACTTAATTAATTGATAAATAGTGTTCATTATTATATGTTTTAAAAGTTTTATATTTGTAAATATTTTATGTGTAGTTATAAATGATTATTTAAAAAATAAACTTTATAATTAAATACAATTAAAAAGTGCTCTTGATGACAAATCACATACCAATTACACCATTTAAATAAATTTAACTTTTTCTAGTTTATATTGTTAATTTTATAAAGTAATAATTACAGTCTAAAAAGTTGTAACTTTTAATTAAATGTATTAATCCCTCAATGATTGTTATAATTAAAATAAATAAATAACTATTATAAACAATTAATTAAATGTTTTAAAAGTTGTTATATTTGTGAATGTTTTATATATGGATATCAATACTTGTTTAGAAAATAAACTTGTTAATTAAAATTTTATTTAAAAAATCAACACCTATCCAATGTTGCCTAAATTTATTAATTTAATTTTTTCTAGTTTATATTATTTATTATAGAATGTAATAATTACAGTATTTAGCAAATATGTAAATTTATAAATACCTGAATGATTGTTATTATTAAAATAAATATATAATCATATATGACCCAGGACAATTAATAATAGTTTTTAAAAAGTTAAAATTCACAGAACAAGCACTGTTTTCTTAACTCCACAAATTTAATAAATAATCCGTTATTATAAACACAAATAAATAAAATAATTTATTTTACAGTATATAAAAAAATATAAAACTAGTGAATTATTAAAAATCCAACGTGGTTTTGTAAATAAAATCGCACACACTTTAATAATAATTATTATAAAATACTATAAGTTATGAATATTAATATAAATTTTAAATGTAATTTAATATCACATTTATTATATCAGGCATAACATCGAGAGCACAGACACCGTATGGTTTTGAAACACTTTAATATTCACTACTATATATGAATTTGCCGGTAATTTTACCTTTATTTATATTGTAAATACCATATAAATCATTGAATAAAATCACACACTAAATTTAACTATGCTCGTTTATGTGAATTCATAATAATAAATGTGGTTTACGTGCATTTATTTGTAATATTAAATATAGCTAAATGTGTTTTATGCGGGGTTTTGATATGGGGTTGACATATACCAGATAGTTATCTAGTTGTGTACACAATACCACACCTTTTATAGTAAACAGTACCATGTTAATAATTTTACGTATTTAAATTAATTGTTATGATTAATAAAATAATTAATAATGCAGATGGATAAAATTTAGATGAATTGTTTATGCAAATTAAAATTATTATTATTTAAAAATTAACTATGTAAACTATTTATGCATAATAGAGTGTTGATTGAACAACCATGATTGCCACTAGAAATAGAAAGTTATATATATATAACTTGTGGTATTACTCCCAATAGATAAGGTATCATGTACAGTATTGCATGTTTTACCTGATTTTAAAAAGTATATTGCACAATTCTATATGCTTATTATCAATTTCACCTGGTAACCTCTATCTGGCATAGGTTGCTATGTTTTAGTCATACTATACTAGCATAAGCATTTAATACAACTGTAAAATTGTTACCAAAGTGCCCTTGCCCAAGGTCCTAATATGCTCAATTAATTTCAAACTCTAGCAATTCATCAAAATTATTACTTAAATATTTATTTTATTTTATGTACAAGTAATTTTAAACCATGTTGAGTTAATTGATATATTTATTTAATAACACAATTAAATTTTAAACAATATCATTTTACAAATATTCTACCAATACTTAACATTCAATACTACTGTAGTGTTAATTTGTAAACGAGCTTATTGCAAAATAGAGCAAATATTGCACCGTGGTAAAGCGTGTACAAGTGTCAAAAAGTACATTGTATTAAACTGAATGCACTAATTTGTTAAGTAATCCACAATAGTTATCATCATGTGTTTTGTCGATTGTTTGATTCCTAGGATTTGCAACGTTTTGTGAGTCATGTATGCAATAGTCGAGAGAGAGAGAGAACGAGAGATTGATTAATGTCAATAAATGCGAGAAATGTCATTTAGGTTGAAATAGGGGTTGCATTTTATGCGCACGTAATTTATGCACAAATT